TATAGGATAGGGGTGGCCATGGTTCCATTCATCCCTAAAAGTAAACAAAACCTTTCATGGGTGCAGCAAACCCATCTAGTTGCAGAGGAAGAGTTGCCGTGTGGTCAAAGCATCTTTGGCACTTATTACCGTAACTGAATCTTAGTTTATGAATATTTATCACGTATTCGTATTCTAACATATTTGCACCTGCATAAGAATTCACACAATTGTTTTCTTTTAAAGGAGGAGCAGCGGGAATTTCGTGAAAAGGCCATTGATCCTGAAGCTGAACAGGAGATCATCAACAGCATCGAAGAAGTCTACTTCTCCAATGACTCGCTGGATATAGTCCAATATGAGCTTGAGGTTAGCAGCATTATGATACACATGTGAAACTGCTCCGTGTACACCACAGGAACATGTGCATCCCGGTCTTCTTTTTTTACAACTTATTTACAACTGCTATTATTAACAAATAGCTATGTGTATCTGGGTTGCTCTATAATCCAATGTGTACTGGGATAGGATTGTTCATGGAGGGTCATTCCCTCCAGGCAGATAAAAAAAAAAACAATTAATGAAGAATAATAAAAGGTATTAAATAGGAATGCACCGATATATCTGCCAGAAATTGCACTTTTGGCATAATGCTGAAAGTGCCATTTTCCTGCCGATCGGCGCATCCCTGCTTTCTTTCCTCCCCGCTGGGCGCTGCTCTGTGTCCCAGCGGGGAGGAGGGAAACTGTGATAGCCGGCCGAGCGCTGCGGGAGGCGAGCGCTGTGAGGAGAGCAGAGCGGTGTGTGGGCGGAGACATGCCGCTCTGTCACAGGAGGCTGAGCTCTCCTCCCTACACCGCTCACTCAGCCTCCTGTGACAGCGTGTCAGAGAGAAGAGCAGTACAAACACCCTTGCTTACATACAGGGTCGATTTAGACAGGAGCCAATTAACCTACCAGCATGTCTTTGGTGCACAGAGAACAACTACACCAGCACAGGGAGAACACAGGGAGTCCCCGCCCTCAAAGAACGTACAATCTAAGGTCTCTAGCTTACAGGTACGCAGGGCCAATTTAAACAGGAGCCAATCCACCTGGCAGCATGTCTTTGGAGTGTGGGAGGAAACTGGAGTACTTGAAGGAGACCCACGCAAGCACAGGGAGAGCATGCTGTGACAGGACAGTGCCGTGTCACTATGGTGATTGGTGTGTTTGGCGCCCAGGACTCTCGGCCAGAGGGGCTGAGAGGGTCCAGAAAACATATAGTGTTGCAGGGAAGGAGCTGGGTTTTCTGGAGTATAACTGGGATCTGGGCCTCTGGCGATTTCTAAGGCTGGGTTCACACCTGGGTGTTTTTCAGCGCTGATCAAAGCACTGAAAAACGCTCAAGCAGTGAACTCCTATTAATTCCTATGGGCATGGTTCCCACCTAGGCGAAACACGCTGAAAAACGCCCCACGCGCCAAATAGTACAGGAGCTTCTTTGGGGGGCGTATTTCCTCGCGTATCCATAAGAATACAGCCTGATAGCTTTCGTAGACGCGCGCTTCGTGGACCGCAAATCAAGCGCGCATATTACGAACGCCCAGGTGTGAACCCAGCCTTAAGGTGCCCACACACCTTGCGATAATCGTGGGAAATCCCGCGATCGTACGATTATTGCAAGGTGTATGGAAGGCGTGCGACCGTTTTTACTGTACGGTTGCACGTCTTTTGTCGAACCAGCATGCTAGAAAACCCGCCGAGAATCATACGTTTTATTCGCTTATACGGCTGGCTAAGGATCCTTAAATACCCTAAACGTTACAATGCAAACTCCTTGTAGAGAGTGACCTCACCGGGATTTGAACCGGGGACCCCCAGTGCTGCAAGGCAGGAGTGCTAACCACTACATGACTGTTTCCTGGATAGCAGTAGTAGATCACTGATTGTTGTTCCTTTTGATTGTGCTCTCTGGTTTTAATGATATAATTGTTAGCCATTTCTGCAGTAAAATGACTCATTTACTTGTGTTCCTCTATGCAGAAGCTTCCACCAGTCTTCAGTCTGCAGGAGATTGAAGAGTACAGAGATAAGTTGAAGAGACAGCAGGCAGCGGTGAGTATACTCTGTTATTTTGTTCATCCTTCTCTATATATTTGGGGTTACAGGGTGAGCTATTGTTAGATACGTTGTAATCCTTCCAGGCTTTTTCCGGAGCAGTGAGAATCATGAGCTCCCACAACAAATGCAAACTTTATTGATGAAAGTCTATAGGAGAGCTCTGACTCCCGCAGTGTAGATTCAATAAAAGACCACTTAGATTTTCTGCTCATTAACGGGGATTCTGGCATTTACATCTCAAACAATAGCCTGATCCATCAGCCCAAGAGACCTCCAAGATCAGAACAATCTCCTCCTGGCGTTAATTCAATATAAAATGGTAAAAGATTATTGCAATGAGTCTGATTCTTCACCTGCAAATCATGAAATCAATAGAATAGAAGAGGGCTTAAAGAAAATTAAATGAAAAAGTCTGTTTTTAAACATGCCCAGGTGAAAAATTGTGTGCGTCTGTGAAACGGCGACAAAATTCAGTACCCCAAAAAGTCCATAGACGATGCTTTAAAAGCCCCCACAGGTCGTCAGTTTAGAGATACGCATAAATATTGACCCTAGTGTTATTGCTCTCACTCTGGCGTGTGCTGCGGTACCCACCATGTTTAGTGCGATCATCGTTCTCGTACATAGGCGCACCCGAAATTTACATTATTTTTATATTATTTTTAAAAACCTATTTTTTTTTTTTAACTTGAATTTGCTATCACATAGCAGTGCTTACAAGCCCCCCATGTGATAGCATATTGTTGGTGACAGGTACTCTTTAGGTGATACTGGGGGTCCAAAAGACCCCTAGTGCCACCTTTACACTTTAAATAAGCTATTGAAGTGCAGATCCCACATCAATAGCTTATTGCTGGGCTTTAGGAGCAGAGCAATGACTGCCCAGGTACCGGACCGGATGTAAATTGCATCGCTCCCGGTCCCATAGAACGGGGAGAAGATCGGTAAATGGACATTCGCCGCTTTGCTCCCCAGCTACCCGCCAACACCTAAGATGCCGGTCCCAGGCCCATAGGAGGGTCAGCGGAGCCCAGGAAACTAGGCAGGAGTGTCGTGCAGTTCACCGGCTCTTAAAAGTGATCTGGCGGCAACTGAGTCGCCAGAATCGCTACTACAGAGTAAAGCCGCCAGGAGTATGTTTAAATGGGCCTGCTGCCAGTGACGTACTATGTATGTCACTGGTCGCTTAGGGGTTAATCTGTGAATATTGGCTTAAAGCCCAATGAAATGTCTACTTATTGCATTCCAGGTCCATTTAGAAAGTGGCCACAACCCTGAGTAGAAAAGCCTGTCCCTTGGCAGCATACTGTAGAGAAGGGCCCTTGTCAGACCTATGGCCATGAAATCACCAACACGCTTTCATCCTGTTGATTGGAGTTTCCAGCGAGGGGTGCTGTTAATTCTACAAAATGCAAAGACATTTTAGACAATTGTGCTCTTCCAACCTTGTGGCCACACTTTTTGGTGAAGGCCCTTTTCTGTTCCACCACGACTGCCCCCTGTGTACAGAGCCATCTCTATAAAGACATGGCCTGAGGTGTCTGGGGTGGAGGAACTCATGTGGCCTGCACAGACCCCTAAACCATCAGTTTTGGGGAGAATTGTAATGCCGAATGTGCTCTTTTGAGTGAATAAGCACAAATTCCCATAGACACCCTCAAAAATCTTGTGGAAAGCCTTCCCAGAAGAGTACAGAGTGCTATAGCCACAATAGCGTGGGGGCACAACCCCATATTAACATTATTATTATTCAGGATTTATATAGCGCCAACAGTTTGCGCAGCGCTTTACAATATAAGGAAGACATTACAATCACAATACAATTCAAAACAAGATGGTAAGGAGGGCCCTACCCATGAGGGCTTACAATCTAAGAGGGAGGGGCCAGTGATACATGAGGAGGTAGCTGTGTGGGGATGAATTGTTTCAGAATGTGATAGTTAGGTTGTGGTGGGATAGGCTTCCTTGAAGAGATGAGTCTTAAGTGATCGCTGAAAGGCAGTCAGGGTGGGAGAAAGACGGACAGATTGAGGTAAGGAGTTCCAAAGAATGGGAGAGACTCTAGAGAAGTTCTGGAGGTGAGCATGGGAGGAGTTGACGAGGGAGCTGGAAAGCAGGAGGTCTTGGGAGGAGCGGAGGGGACCGTTAGGGTGATACTTTGAGACAAGGTTGGAGATATAGCCGGGGGCAGAGTTATGGATGGCTTTGTAAGTGATTGTTAATATTTTTAATTTGATCTTTTGGGCGATTGGAAGCCAGTGCAGGGATTGACAGAGGGGGGCGGGGGATGGAAGCCAGTGGAAGGATTGG